AGTCCATATACAAAAACTTACATCAGAAAGTGTGCCCCCTGATACCATTTAAGTTTTGTCTGAAACATTTTTTAATATCGTCAACAGTTTCGAAGATATTAGAGTGGGTCGATTTGGTCGGGACACCCTGTATATCAGTTTCTACGACTTGAAACTATTGAATGAAAAAAAAAGTACAAGAAGCTCTAGTTAAGGGGTTAACGAACTGAGGTGACATTGATTCTACCCTTGTTTATTTCAATAATCGAGGTACATTTTTTCCGCTCTACAAGCGCTGACACACATATTTAGAATCTAATGGGAAAAAAATGCAAGCGTAACGCGACCGTGGTAACAATGATTTTTTTTTAGCGTTTTAATAAGTACAGCAGGCTCACGCTGGAAATCCATTAAAACGGAAATAACAGTTACGAGAGATCGTTACGCCTCGTAATTACAATTTATAATCCACTGTGACTATCTCTGATTTTCATGACGACTCGGTGAAAGCTGGCATTAATCCGGCATTAACTCGAATTCACTTTCGCGAGATCTGCGATTAGCAAATCCAGCCCACGCGCCACGATGAGATAACGATGCTCAAGGTTCGTTCGATCACGAATCGTAAAATGATTGTTTCCCTACTGTAAACATCCGTACAGCTCCGTGAACCCTTCAGACTTGCCATTGCACAATTCTGTTTGCAGTTCTTGACACCGTTGCCAGCGTGGAAATCGGATGATCGACAGAGTCGAACGTTTGCCGAATAAATATTGGTATGAAGGTCTGTTTAAGTAAATTTTCATTGCAACATACCTCGTCTTTTATGAAGGAATTGGACATCTTTCACGAATGAGAAACAATATTTTACTCGAGTAAAAAATTATTAAATTTATCTTGAATTTCTTCTTTATTTAGTTAAGTTATTTGGATTTTTAAAGTGTATTTATATTAAACCGTAGGATATAGTTAAATAGATTCTGTATGTTACATTTAATATCGTAGAAATATTGTTATACGTGTAAACCAAGATGGCGACTCTGTACGCGAGAAAACGGCGGCCATATTGAAAATCGTAGGACATCGATACCATTCGTACTTTCTTTAACGTTCATGACATTAAATACACGTTTTCTGCACTCGTTAACTTTTTTGCTCCGCTTTACTTCCTCTATCATGCTCATTAAAATATCCTACTGTCAGATAACTGTAGCATATATCTATTACTCGGTTATTCTCACCTACAATTAACTACTCCACTGTCCGTCTAAAACTAATTTAAAAATTCTTTCACTCGAACCTTATCTTAAGGAAAACCTCCAGTATTTTAGAGTACTTTCAAATAAGTAATTACCTTATTATACTGAGAAACAATAATATCAGCAGTTGTTGAATACTTTTCGCAGCCGTTGCTGGTAATTATTTTTCAGTTCTCTCTCTCGACAAGCAAACTAAAAAATACGACGTCCACATATCGTCGCTCTAGTTCTTCATTGTTCTATCTCCACTAGTTTCTAAATTGAGAAAACTGAGTTTAAACTTCACAAATTTTAATATTATAGAAACAGTAAAGTTATGAAATAATCAAAAACACTGTAATATCATCGACTGAATAGCTATTTATTACCATACTTAATAAAATTTTATCTTATTAGCAACATAAATTTTTAATTATTGTTAGCATTTGGAGATACATACGCCCATTAAGAAAGAGAAAAACTTTCAAAGTTTTCGATCTACAACTGAAAATAATATTTGTTGTTTCCTAGGTTAAATTTTGTTATAATAATATTATAAATTTGATTGATTAACTAAACTTTTTTTGAAAAAGATAGCTAGAACAGTTAAGAACTCGGGCGACAATGTGTGGAAAAGGCTTGACATACAATGATTAGGTACAGTCGTTCGAATTATTCAACCTGTCCGGATGGACAGGTTTGTCCACGTGGAAACGTATTTGTTTACTAGGCGCGAACTGGACACTCTTGGGGGGGCCGGTTAACTCATCTGTAATCTTTGCGGCGTGAAACCGGGTCTCTCTCTCTCTCGTGTCGGGGGGATAGTGAAAGTGGATCGACGCAGTCCGTTTGAATAGACACACAATTTAATCGAGCCACGATTACGGGGACGTGTAATGATCGATCGTCGTTGCATTAACGTCAATTTAAACGAAGAAGTTAATTCGAGGAGACAATTAATGCACGCGCATACGGTAATATTTTCGTCCATATGACGTAATCATCCAGAATTATTCTTTTGCTTTCGTTATCGATTCGACGGAAGCAACAGATATTTTTAACATTTAATTATCCGTTACGATCAACAATCGCGAAGACGAAAAGTATTTTTTTTACCGATATTTTGCACATTTATTTTCATTGCTAAATGTGACTAAGTATGCAGTAACCCAAATGCATCACGAAAATTTTCTATTTTTTCGCATTAATATAAGTCCAAATTCATGAGAAAGAAAATTATATTTGTAGAAAAACCTGTATGTGTCCACCTCTTAGTTGTAGAGAAAATTCAACATGCCATTCATTTAAATTTACAAACACTGTAAGTATCAAAACCTGCTTTCCCAGGTTACTTGTACAGAAAACGAAAAATTTAACCCTTTAATTAGCACATACATTGTTTTCTATAGAAGCGACATTGGGCGTACCAATGATACCATCTTTTAGCACTATTTGTAACTATTTACAAACGGAAATTGCATTTAAATTCTATACTACAGTATTCCCATTAACATGTAAAACAGTTTTCCATAAAAAAGAACAAAATTTTTCCATTTTGGCATTTACAATGTTTTCTACAAGCACTGTTCATTTATGTGTTTCTACAGACTGAATTCTCTTCGGTAGACCGTGCGTTCATTCAGGATATACAACTCCGATTCAATTTCTCCGGGAATAATTAGGCTATACAATGTTACGTAACTATGCGTACGAAGTTTACGGGGGGGATAGAGGTGAACGTGAGAAGCTATGAATAACACAGAGCAAAGCTGCTGAAATTATTCGATAAATTATGGAACAGTCTCGACGATTCTTCCTTTCCCGTCGATGAACTTCAACAGCGGCGAAATAGATTCGTAATCTTCGTTCACAGTGTATGTTGTAAGAGCGTGAGAGAATTTTCTGGGATCGAAGAGCGACACGGCATTTCGGGCCGCCTCGGTGTTCACTTTCGTTCTCGAAGGTCTAATCAACAAGATCTATTCTCGTGAAGTCGTACGATTTAAACGTATAATCAATGAAAAATGTGTTATTACAACTATTTTTCTGATAACAGAATAATAATCACGAGTGTGATCTTACAATGGTTTAATTAATGGTACACGAGCATGTAATTCAATTAATTTTGATTACAATGTAGTGCCTTTGATATTTATCGAACTCATGCATAAACCATGAGGCCCGTTTACAAACTAGAAAATTCAGGTGGTAACTTCCGTGATTTATGAATCAAGCGTTTCTCCACCCCTTTCCATTGTACGTCGTTAACAATTTATCCTCGGAGATAAATTAACAATTTCTACATACAGCTTCATTTCCATTCAGTAAAAGTTTCTCTGCTCCGCTCAATCACTGATATGATTAACCTGCAGATAAATTTTTTAGGAAACTTTTCATTAATTAGCCGGGAAACAACAGCATATACAGAACTGTACCTCCTTGAAATAAATAACACACTTATAATAATTCTACCATAGAACGTGTACCTTTCAGGAGAGTTGTAACCGCAAAGAAAAAATCTTGCCTACATAAGTTTCGGAATAAAATATATTTTATTACAATCGTATCTGTTTCTCGTATTTACACATAATTGACACTAGAATACCAGCTTTGAATATATACTAAATTAAATTGTATAATGCAGTGATATACGTAATGTATGTATAGTACACTCTAGCATAATATAGTATGATATAAAGTAAACATTAAATTGAAAACTAACATAAGTTTCACTAAAAGCACTATTATTGTTTTAGCAATCGTAAAATAAAAAATCTGCAATCCATCATTTTGACGAGTTTAGTAGTTTTAATGTTGATGAGTGTCGATTTTTCACATTCTTTTATATTTCTACAGAATAAACAGTATATGCAGGGTGTGGTGTAACAATGGTGAGGGATGATTCTACGTGAAAAAAGAAGTCGAAAATATAGAATAAAATTTTTTCATTCGAGACTTCGTTTTCGAGAAAATTACCTTTGAATATCTCTGTTGGATACACGTGCAATTGGATCTGGCGTGTCTGTTCACTAACATTCCGTTTCTACTTACTACCATGATGAATACACGCATTTCAGATTAATTTTCAAATGTTTAATATACTACGTTTTTAATACGGACTAAAAAATATAAAATAATTTTTCCTAACCCCATTCAGATAGTCCTGAAAATTTGTGATTGTGAATTTTTGATAGCTATGAAAATACTTGTAAGATTTAAAACGAAAAACGTGGGGCGCAAGATAATAGTAAGGAGTGTAGAGAGTAGCTGCCGTTGAAAAATCTCACACAACAGTTCATATCATTTGCAGTGCAATAAAATTGTTAGTGACTTAGGTGAACTATTCATGCATTAATTATCTATTGCATGCGCCCCACATTGTTCATTTTAAATCTTACAACCATTTTCATAGTTATTAAAACTTCACAATCACAAATTTTCAGTACTATCCGTATGGGGCTAGGAAAAATTATTTTATACTTTTTAGTCCGTTTTAAAAACGTGGTATATTAAACTTTTTTTTTTATTTAAATTTATAGTAAATTTTCACAATTTGTGAACACAAAGTGTTTAACCGTGTAGTTTTTATTACACACGCGTCAACGAATGACAGCGTTAACATTCACAGATACACAATAGCGCGAAATTTAAAACCCTTTTAATGGAAGACTTTTGTATTATGTAATTATATAAAATGTATTGTATAATTAATCTCTTACGATATTTCAAATAAAAAAAGAACAGAGATCAAAGGATAACATAGACGTTCTGTTTGAAATTCAGGCGACAAATGGCTGGTCTCCTGCTTGGGCGTTCTCCACCTGAGCAAAGGTCTCTTCTACCGTGTGGTGCCAGCGGACCAAGGGTTCGGGAATACCGGTGAACCGCCGGGATCGCCGACCGCCGAATACGCGGGCGTCTTCCGATTCCGTTTATGGTGGTGCGGCGCATGGGTCGAGGTTCTCGTCGACGACAGGCTGCCGGCGATTCACGGGCGACTTGCTTTCGTGCAGAGCCGTCACAGTGATCAATTCTGGCCTGCTCTTCTGGAGAAAGCGTACGCCAAGTGAGTATCCTTAAAAAAAAAAAAAAAAAAAAAGAGAACTGTTTATCGGAGTGGTCTCTAATTTGTCAGTCACGTGAGCGCTCGCGCGTGAGACTCTTCATGCTTCTTTTTTTTTTCTTTTCGTCACCTTGTTCTGTGTGGTTGTCTTCACGTTGCAATGGGAACTGGGCGAGGAAAAGGTCTGGATTCAGGTGTATAGTAAAAGATAGGTGTAAAAAAATTATAGGTGTATTTGAAAAAAATTGAAGGTGACCTTGAAAAATCATGAGAAAAAAGAGTTGACAGAAAATTTGCTATAATCACGTTAAAGCTCTCTTGAAACCATGCTATATTTGATAAAATCATTTTCGATCGGACTGCTAATAACAAAGTAATCTCTACTGACCACGATTCGTGGTTCATCCTGTATATGTATAAAGAATCATTAAAAATTAAGAAGTCGTTTGTGTCCAAATTCTTAGAACAGTAATACTTGAAATTATTATTAAATCATGAAATTAACTAATCTTTTAAGAATAAAACCTCCACCTCGGTCAATCTTGTACTTCTATCTACACAGATTCACCGAAGAATCACAGTCTGAATTATAAATGAATTTGAACATATTCCACAATTAGACATCTTGAATAATGAGCAGAGTATTTTCTTTGCAATTTAAATATTTTCGGATGTCATAACATCAACAAAGACGAGTTTGTTTTCACTGCTGACCGACCAATTAACCAGCCCCGATCGTATACGGTTTCATGTGGGCGTGGAAAGCGATGGCGATCGAGGTTCATCGATCGATCTCGGTAAGGTTGATCCTCGGTGCTAACGCACCATGAACGTCCACCTGGCGAACGCCCACGCCACCCACCGGAACTTACAAGATCGACCCAGGTAGCTTTGAAGTTATTCGCCTGTTTGCGTCTATCCGACCCACAATCCTACGATCGTGTAACAAAATCGAAACTTCTCGACGAATCCAATTTTCTACGTTCATCGTGAATAGCAAGGATAGGAAAACCAATATTTCGGTATCTATTAGGACTGGAAGGATCAGGGTTTGTGCTTACCGAATTATTTTAGAAATTTTTCGTTCATTTTATCGAACAAATTTTTAATTCATTACAGAGATAATCGAAGCTTAAGCAATTCATACTGTAATGTTTTCAACAGTGTTTCGTATTTAGTATTCTGCAGACCCTTGAAATAACCACAAGCGAAATATTCATGAGATGAAAATAATTTCATTCATAGACACAAACGCTGTAATACGTATACACGTTGGAAAGAACTTTACAGAATTTTTAGAAAACGATTCTGCGTCTCGAATAGAAAGAAATTATGTTTTCCAAAGAAGACACATTTCGTCTATAAAATCCACTTATCAACGGAGGCTTATCTAATATCAAAAAGATCGATCAATTATTTAACCATATGTCTCATGTACACATCATTTTGCCTCACGTGCAGGCAACATATGTATTTATCATTTTCCATTATTTCTTAAAAATTTGATTTCTTTATTGTTACAGTCTATGTAAATACCTGTTACATACATCATTTGCGTATGCATTGTGGATATTTGTGCAATATGACATTTTACAAAGTAATTCGTAAAGGCAAGAACAAAAGGTTTGAATTTCTGCCTTCTGTTAAATGTCTTATAGGGTTAAGAATAAAATAGGAAACTGGTTACACCTGATGAAGGCTTTGTCTTTTATTATATTTCACAGAACCTTATAGGCTACAAATGCCTAAAATCCAGTCTATTTGTGTATACGAATATTAACCCCTTTAATCAAAAAAACATTCTGATGTTGCGCAATTTCTCTTTGCTTCCTCCTAAAGAAATCAAATACAATCTAAACACCGAAACATCGCAGCAATAGTTTTAGAATAAAAAAAGATAATAAACTTTGTGTTTATAATCTTGCATTACACTATTAATATTCGTTCAATGAAAATTAATTTCGATCAACTCAGCACCCACATCTGAGCTAACTACACACTGGCCATAGATCGAACACAATACATAGCTTATTTTTTAGGTTGGGTAATTCCTACTAGTAAAAATTAAAAAAAAAAAAAAAAAAAAAAATTTATTAAAACACACTATTTATTTAGTAATTATTTTTAAATATAAAACTATAATATAAAATAAACATAAAAATATGAATAAATAAAGCACTTAATGACTTTGATGATGAAACCCTGCCAAATTGTCGCGGAACACCTATTCAGGTTCAGCGTAACACAGTTTAGGAAACCCTGCGCTACACAGTATGCAAATAATCCAGCTCCTCCTTGCAATGTACATGTCACCCATATTTGGGTGACGTGGCAATCAAAGTGTTAAACGACTCCCAGTGACGTCATATCAGTAACGACAAGGAATTTCTTGGTCTAGCGAAATCTACGAAGCGGATCCTGAACTCGCGCGAGTAATGGTTCTGTGCGCGCGCGCAGGCGATCCTCTGCTCCGTGCTCCAAGAAGAAGGGAGAGACGCGTTTACGCGGATGAACGAACCGCGATGACCGGTTCTGCTGGAGGTCCTTGCTCCTCCTCTTAATCTTTCCGCCGATGACCGTTCCACCTTCCTCCTTCCCTCCTTCACCTCGTTATCCGTTTCTTCGCCCGGGCTGGATCCCTCCTCGGCTCCCTTACGTTTTCTTGCCCCGTCAGGGAGTGCACGACTCCTCTGGGCGTTGCTCTCGAAACCGTCCGGACGACGTGACGGCCTCGAGAAGGAAGACGACCTCGCGATCCACCAAGGAGACAAAAGAGGAGCAGGATCAACGATAAGAATCAGCCCGACGGATTCACTGCCGGTTTTTGTACGACAGACCCCGAGGTTGTTACTTTTATGGCCGATAACACGATGTTTATTGTGTCCTTGGGTGATCTACCGGCTGCGGGGGGCGATTGAGTGAGGCCGAAAAGATAATTTCGTGATGCGTATTGCGAGATGGAGAGAAAGAACGAGTGGCGTTTCTTGGGTGTGGTGTGTGTGGAGGTTTTCTTAATTTCTACAGGGTGTAACAAAAATGTTGTCCGACCCGGATATGGGACACTCGGGGGGTGAATTGAAACAAGTTTTTCCTCAGCAACAATGTAATCTGAGGCTTCGTTACCGAGATATTAACGAAAAACTCGCGCTCTGATTGGTCGGGGTTTTTCGTTAATATCTCGGTAACGAAGCCTCGGATTAATTGAAAAGGAAATAAGTGTAATAAGGCATTACGAAATTGTTAAAAGTCTGAAATTACTATTTTTCTTGTGGGGTTTTAAAGCTCGATAGACAACATTTATTTAAGTATAAACTGATAAAAGTGGCCTAAAATCGACAGTTTTTATGAAATATCACATTTTTCGCTGTACAGACCAAATGTCCCAATACTTTTGAACGACAGTGTAAATTAGAGGTTTAGTTAAATAAACGTCAACATTCACTTAGTGTCAATTTCTAATTTATAGGAACTGTAAACTGAATCTTTTGCTGAACGTTAGAAAATATAACAAGGATTACAAAACTTAATTGAACATAAAATGTAATATAAGTGTTTACTACAAACATTAAGTAATCTGCTTGCATTTCATTTGTTAGAGTGTGTTATTACACTAACAATATGAATGTTGAGGATCATCATACTAAATCTTTGCAAGTGAAAGTACGGATTTATTTGATTCAAGATTTATGGATTGGAGTATCCGCACAGTAGTGAGGGACATATTAGCTGGAGACTTTAATGCCTGATCAGTATCGACCTCGTCACACTTACATTCATACAGCCCCACTTGTTGTCCCAGTTTTATTCATATCTCAAAACAACGACATTTATCAAGCGAAATCACTTGTCAACGTAGAAATTACGAGAAGTAGAAACTCCTACTAGTTTAACATTTAAAAACCAAAAAATCTTCGGCATACTTCCTGTAAGCCCCGTAAATTCAAGTTTTACTCGTTTCACAAAACACGCTTAGCAATTTCAGAACGACGAAAATGTACATAAATACTTTTGTAAACGTACCACATTTCTTATAAATTCGGTCGATTAACGTAAATTCAAGTTTTACCCGTTTCAGCAAACACGCTTAGCAATTTCATAGCTACGAAAATGTACATAATTTGGTGAACGCCCCAAATTTTTTTATGTTCCGTCGAGTAACGTAAATTCAAGTTTTACCCGTTTCACCAAACAGTACACAGCATTTTTCAAAAATATGCATGAATTCTCGCAAGTTCTCGTAAGTTCAGTCGATTAAACCTTTCGCTCCCACTGTTGCTACATGACTATGTATTACGAGATAAAATATCAGTATCGTGTATTTTTTCATATCTGTGAGTATAATAGTTTCTTCTAGCCCTGTACAGATGGTATGAAACAAATTTGAATGTGCATTTAAAATCTTATCGGTAAAATGAGACATTATTGATCCTTTGCCTTTTTCATTTGATAAAAGTGTGGACCATTGTTAGCAAATGCAATAAAAACTTACAAAATTCTAATTTACTTTAAATATTTCAAGAGGGTTTATTGATCAAAGATAAGAAAACTTGGGTTTTATTATGTACAATATCATTATATGTAATGGGAATTATACATATTATAACTATGATAAAAGTAAAGAAATGTAAAACGTCATTAGACAATTTTAAAATGTTGAAATGTTCTTGTGAATCATTTATATGTCACGTATTGTACACAAAAATAGAACAAATTATTCCTTTGATAATTTTGAAATAATTTCAGTTTCTCCAACAAATAATTGTCTTTCCTTCCGATAACTAGAAGCAATTCGTAGAAATCCCAGCATTCATTTGTGCGTTGAAGGGGAGTGCACCCTTGTTTAACGATCAAGAACACGGTTCGCTATAATTTCATCGTCGAACACGCACTTCGTTGCATCACAATGGCGGACGTACGCGCGTAACGAGGGATTATTGTGGCTGCGCTTCGAGAGTCGCTAGGGGAAAGCAGAACGGAGTCGATCATAGGCTATGATTTCCGCT